ACGTATTGGTTTATAATCTAATTAATGAACTGTGTGCCCATGTCCAAACTTATTCTGCCTATAATTTTGTTTTTGTTGAACAGCCTAGATGAATCAGGGAAAAAAATAAAGCTGTTAGGTGAAAATGGTTTTTAGATTGGTGACATTTTATATATAGAATGCTTGCATATGGGTAGCATGTAAATGAATACTTAATATAGACTCTGAGTACTAGTTCAGCTCTAGCACTGTAGATCAGTATGAGCAGAGCTTAAGATTTTCACCATGGGAAAACGATTTTTGATAGTAATATTCTTTCTATTTCTATAGCATTTTAAAATTTGTAATATACCTTAATATATAAAAACATTTAGTTTTCACTTGCTTTCTGCGAGATAAACAGGCAAAGGATTATCTACATTTTATAGATGAGAAAATTGAGACTCAAAGAGATTTAAGTCTGTCCACTCATTGTAAAATGACTAGTTGGTGATAGTGTCAGTTAGAATACAGGGTTCCTGACCCTTAGTAAAGCACTCTTTCCATTTGTTCTCTACTTGGGAAATTAGTCCTAAAGCTGGTGCCCAGATGCTTAGGTTGAATTTTGGTAATAGGGTGAGGCATATGTCCTTAATCTCCTCTTAAAGGAAAGGCCTCTGGAAATGGACAATGTAGGACAAAATAAACATATATGTCCTTGACAATCTCCATTTGTTTTGTGACTACTGGCCAGGAGGGAGAGAGAAGAAAGTATATACATTTCTGCTGTTTTTCTTAACTTTTAACTCTAACAGTAATTGGGAGAAAAATTAGAGGTGAATTAGAAACTGTTTATTCCATTCTCTTTATTATTTATAAGGTTGAACAAATACAACTCAGCCCTATATGAGTGATAAGAGGGTTTGTTTTGTTTTTTGACCGGGAAGAACTCACTGTTGGATTTGAGCCTCTAGGAGAGTCTGTCCTCGCTCTCGTCAGCTGTGGCTTTGAGGAAGCCTACCACATCCAGCAAAGGGTTGCCCATTGTCTCCTCAGGTTTTACATAAAATCTTATTAGAAGGAAATGTGGCCCTGATATTGCAAAGAGATGAGAATTGGATTCTGTCTTCTAAATCTCTTTCTTTACAGGAAGCTGTCCATGTGTTGGCCACTGGTGACTTTACTTTCATAAACTTTTTTTTTTTTTTTTTTGGTGGTTAGAAGCACAGAATTGCAGATTTCATCTCTGGTAGGTCTCTTGACACTTTGATGCATGGTGGTGCTATCCCTGAATGGAGCTTAAATACTTCAGGGCTACTTTCTGACTGGGTGAAGGGGTGTATAAAATGAGAACATATGAGAGAGTATTAACAGAAAGGCACACTTTGATTTACTGATATTGGCTCTCTGCTTTCTTGTTGGATTGATAGGCTGTCTAATATATCTGCAATGGATTTTTTAAAACTTGACTTGAACAAAATAAAAGGGCTTGTATAGCTACTTGAAAGTGGCCCTTAAAAGTAGTAGTCTTTTCATTGGATGTTTTCACAATTCTTGGTTATGCTACATGTTAGAGTCAAATTATGACTTGCTTGTCGGGGACAAGCAGCTATAAACAGTACAGACTGCTTCGCAGCTTCTTCCCTGCCTGGGCCTTGATTTCATATTTTAGATCATGGACACATGGTACCTAGAGGAAGTAAGGGGCAGGCACTTGCTTTTCCTGTTCTTTTTAATTTTTTATTGTGGTAAAAAAACCCCAAATTTATTATCCTAATCATTTCTAAGTGTACAGTTCGATAGCGTTAAGTATAATCACATTGTTGTGCGACCAATCTTCAGAACTTTTTCATCTTGCAAAGCTAAAATTCTATACCTCTTTAAACAATTCCCCATTTCCCTCTCTCCCAATCCCTGGCAACCACTGTTCAACTCTCTGTTTCTATGAATCTGACTACTCTAGATACATCATGCAAGTGGAATGATACAGTATGTGCCTTTTTGTGATTGGCTTATTTCATTTAACATAATGTCATCGAGGTTCATCCATGTTGTATGTAGTATGTGTCAGAATTTCCTTCTTTTGAAAGGCTGAATGTATTCCATTTTCCTGTTCTTTTTGACTAGGTTCAAGATGGAAGGATTATAGATTATTTTGTCTGGATAAAGATGAACTAGGATGGTAGAATTATTTATTATATTCTGGTCTTGAGATCTTTTTAAGTGTTTTTTTAAAAATTGTGGTTAAGTATACATGACATAAAATTTACCATTTTAACGATTTTGAAGTGTACAAGTTCAGTATCATTAAGCACACTCACATTGTTATGCAACCATCACCACTATCCATCTCAAGAAGTTTTTCATCATCTCAAACTGAAATGGTATCCATTAAACAATAAGTTCCCATTGCCCACTCCCTTTAACTCCTGGCAACCACCATTCTACTTTCTAGTTCTATGACTTTGACTATTTTAGGTGACTTATATAAGTGGAATCATATAGCATATGTCCTTTTGCAACTGGCTTATTTCACTTAGCATAATATTTTCAAGGTTAGGTCTTGGGAATTTTGAAAACTACTTTGCAAATGCAAAATTGATTTGTGGTTTCACTTTGGAAAACATGGGCTCTATTTCTTAAGATACAGCCATTTCTAGAAAGAAGTTAAAAATAGCTGTTAATCCTTGCGTAGAACTTGAATGAGATGAGATTTCTGCATTTTCATGAGCTTCCTTCCCAGTATTAGTGTCTTTCCTATATTTTAAAGGTTCTTGCTTCCAAATACACTTTCAAAATCTAGCTACTTGGGATATCTCATATCAGTTCTCAGCTCTTTCCAAAGATGATCATTTGTGATAACCTAATAATATTTATAGTTGTCATTTGTATTCTTTGCTCATTTCTTTTAAAATTTTTCATATATTTATATAATTTTGCATTGTCATACTTATATGCTTAAAACATTCAGACTGGATAATTCTTGGTTTTAAAATTGTTATATTTTTATTCTTTTTTTTCCTTCTTGCCTATGTTTTCATCTTATTTATACTTAATCCATTTCCCAAAAGCTTACAGAAAAGATAATGCTGTATTTTTTCTTCTTCATGAGCATAACTTATTTACATATTTGGTGGAAATTTGTTTTGTTATTTTAAGATTCAGAGCAACAGGTTGAAAATCTTGGTTTGGAACACAAAGCATTAGAGATTTTTCAGGTAATATTATGTATTGCAGATCTTCTCATATGGCATGGATATGTACCAATTATAAAAGGATTAGAATATAGAATTTAGAAAAGATGTGATTAAGGGTCTTATGTTATTTTTTTATTTTTATTTATTTATTTTTTTTAGCTGAGCCATCCTGCTACCTGTTGGTAGCTCAGCGGCTGCTCAGCTCGGGCTGGACTCGAACCGCTGTTGCTCAGAGCTCAAACTCTTGAGCGAGCTCTTAACCAACTGAGCCATTCGGCCGGCCCCCGGGTCTTACGTTATTTTAAAGAAGGAACTTGTATTTATATAGTTTTATATGCAGACTATTTGAAGGAATTGGAAAGTAGTTATTGGGTCATTCAGTTCATTCTGATCAATCTGAAAAGGCTTTCTCAGCTAGGTTAACTCTTAGCCTTACTTTGAAATAGAATGCTCTAGTATGGTATATAAATGGAGAACTAGTCTAACTCATATGTTGATGTACCATTGATGAAACAGGTTGGGATGTAAAATAATGAGGAGGCTACTCATGCTGGGCAGGATAAAAGCAGAAAAGAAAGGCAAAGACTCATAAAAATTACTTAAACTGAAGTTTGTGTGGGCTGAAGTTAGTGTGGAATATAAAACAAAAATGAATGTAGGGATTGCTAAATGAAAGTAGGGTTGCTTGTGAGAAGATTACAGCTATTTAAAGGAAAGAGGGAAGGAGTGATCGAAGCATGGCCAGAGATCAGTGGAAAACTATTAATGATAAGAATGGAAAATACAAAATTTAGCAACTGATTGAATATATAGAATCAGAGCACCAAAATGTCAGTGATCTCCTATGAAAACACATTAAACAGAAAAGAGAAAATCAGACAAGGTAGAAATATTAGGAAGAAAAAGATCCTGTTGCTGACATGGTATATTTGAAGGAGTGATGGAGCGAAATCTGTGTGAAGATTTTCTTGGAGTTGCTAGAAATGTGAAAGCTTGATTATAGGAGAGACATCTGAGTGCTATCAACACATAAGTAGTGATGATCAGTGTCTAGTTAGCCCCGTTAGTAGATTAGGCTGATAAAGCAGGTAAGAGTTAAGTTCAGAAGGCCAGTTCTCATTCTGAAAGCTCTTAGCCACAGACTATATACTTAATCTTGACCAGCTTTATTACAAATGCATCCTATGTATGAGAAGATCCAGGTGAGAACATATTCTCAATGTGCAAATTTTTAATACACAGATCAGTACTGCAAATAGTAAGTCATTAACTTGGGTTTTCATATGTGAATAAGAACTTTCCATAAGGATATGTGTGGAGAGACTGAATGAATGATGTAGCAGCTCAAAGCAGAGGCAAATGAGATCTCCTGAGGGAAGGTAGTGGTGGTGGTGGTAGAGATCCTGGGACTAAATTGTGCTCGTTAGGAAAAGAGGAGGAATTGCTTAAAGAGTTGATTGATAGAGGGATAATCCAGGAGGTCAGTGGGTAACGTGTAGAAACTAACACCAAAGGAAACAAAATGATTGGTTATGATGACAGGCAGGGAAGGATTTCGTCAATCTTATTAAATTTAAGAACTCACAATTTATTGCAGACACTTTTCTAAGCACCTTGTACCTGTTACCTTGCTTGTTCCTCATAACAGCCCTGTGAGGCAGGCACTGTTATTATTTTCCTGTGGGAATTCTGTATTTCGGAGAGTTCTTTCTTAGTCCCTGTGTACTCTGTGCCCGCCCTTCCCACCCCCAGCCACAACTGCTCAGGAGCCATGAGTTATAGGCATTGCCTACTTCAGAGAATTGTAGATAATTAAGTGTTCCTTCTCTGTGCTTTATTTCCCAGGTCACAAGGCACTTAAAGCGTTGCTGAGGTCATTGGTAGACCTTCAGGAAGAGCTGCTTTTTCAGTACCCAGATACAAGGTATCTAGTAAGTGGAACAAAGGCCAAACCGGAAAGGTAAGGAATGCAACTATGGAGCTGCCTATTTGCTTTTCATCTGAATAGTTTCCCATCATTTATGAAAAAGCCAAATCCTTTCCAGGTGGATATCAGACTTAATGCTAGTAAAATAGAAAGAGCTGCTTTCATGTAACTGTTGGTGGCCAGGATGGCACAGAAATTGGGAATTAGTTATGCCTAGTTCTCTTTATGGCTTCAGCAAAAAGTCTTGCCTTCTCTTTAGAGCTATTGAAATTAGTAGATGAAAGCACATTTTAATACTGATGCTTAATGTTTATGAAGCACTTTGTGCCCATACCGTGGAATCGCTGGTCAGAACCATCTCCTTTTCAGTGAGGGAAGCAGCAGTTATTTTGAAGGGTGGAGAATTTCAGAAAACAGCAGAATAAACCTTTTTTCTTTACTGAAATTATCACATTTGATGAAGGGCCCCTCCCCCCTGGCCTTTATTTGAACCTGCTATATATGGTACCTGCTTACTGTTTTTTCCCTTGGGCTTATTCTTTGTTCCATTCTTTTATGCTGAATTAGTTGGAGGGATAAAAAGTAAACTCACATTTATTGAGCACCTACTATGTATTGAGGTTCGTAATCCAGTGAATGCAATTGGCTGTGTAGTTGGAGGTTGTATTACTTTCTCATGGCAGGCAGTTGCATATAGTATTGGGGTTTAACACTAATTCTGTTGCGTACCACCCTGAGTTTTCTTCACATTCAGCTTCTCTTCATTTGGTTCAACTAAGATTATTCAGCTTTCCTGAACAATTGGTTACAGGGAGACATTTTCCCTTATTGATTTGGGGATTAAGGTCATAACAGTATGATTATGTGTTTAATTTTTAACCCTCTTGTAATCAGTATAGGCCTGGTTCCTATGCATTTCTAATGTTTTTACAGCCTCATTTATTTTTACAGTTTGCTTGCCTTTTAAAAATATTTTGAAACCAGTTATTCTTCTATTTATTTGAAAAGTTACATGAGTTTTTGATTGACCTCATGAACATGCTTTTCAAACAACAAAAAAGCCATCCTCACATCTCTAGTGCTATTTAAAATGTTGACAGAATAGGGAAGGCCTAAATACTCTCGACTTCATGTGAGCCTAGCCTTTTATTTGGGGAATGTTTGTTTACATTGGACTTAGCGTTCTTACTGGTTTTCTAGTGAGGAAGAGATTTCTAGTGAAGACGAAGAGTTAGTAGAAAAGAAGAAGCAGCAGAGAATGGCCCCACCAAAACGGAAGCTGGAGATGGATGACTATCCCAGCTTCATGGCAAAGCGCTTTGCTGACTTTACAGTCTACAGGAACCGCACGCTTCAGAAGTGGCATGACAAAACCAAGCTGGCTTCTGGAAAACTGGGGAAGGCAAGTGTGTGTGTGTGTGTGTGTGTGTGTGTGTGTGTGTGTGTGTGTGTGTGTGTGTGTGTGTGTGTGTGTGTGTGTGTGTAACATAGGCTGCAGCAACCTGAAGCAGTTTTAAGAAATTGGAACTACAGCTCATTTATATGGGTGATGTCACAATGTAATGGTAATCAGTCATTTCCATAGAAAAATTTACTGAACGCCTACCAGTGGGGTTTAGAGCATTTAGACTTGGGATTTTAACTTTATTGGAAAGAATATTTGATACTAGAAATCGTGGCCTTGTAAGTGCTCCAGTGTTGGAAATACAAAATAAAAAATAGATTTTAAACAATTATTAAAAGAGCAGAAGTTAAGCTCTGGGTGTAGGAAAGAAATATGACCTACTTAAGACTAATTTTTTTTTCCCTTGAACAATTACAACGATTCACAAACAGTCTTTAACAGAAAGTCCCTCCTGAAAGGAGTGTTGTATGTTTCTTTGCTGACACAGAAATATAGAGAAACAAATGTAGCTGCCTTCAGCACAGACTGTCTGCATTATCTGACATTGGTTAATGTTGTTGCAGGGTTTTGGTGCCTTTGAACGCTCAATCTTGACACAGATCGATCATATTCTGATGGACAAAGAAAGATTACTTCGAAGGACACAGACCAAGCGCTCTGTTTACCGAGTTCTTGGCAAACCTGAACCAGTAGCGCAGCCTGTTCCAGAGAGTTTGCCAGGACAACCGGTAAGAACTCTGATGCCTGGTGATTATGGGGAGCAGTTTTTGTAAGGATGATTAACTGAAAAATCTAATCACCTACTTGTAGGTATTACTGTTGGTACAAGAAGTTAGTGAAACAAAGGGAAAAACACTACTTTAATAGATTGTTGAGAAACAGTATATGGGAGGACAAAGTTTTTAAAAAAATGAAGCAGTTCGATGCCTGGCCCGAGCTGAGCTGCCGCTAAGCTGCCAATAGGTAGCAGGATGGCTCAGCTTAAAAAAAAAAAGAAATGAAGCCATTATTAACTTGTGTGTAGTCTTTTTTTTTTTTTTTAAGATTTTTATTGGGGAATTGGGGGATGGGAACAGCGCTGGGGAATTGGGGGAAGGGGAACAGACAAGTTGCTGTCGTTTTGTTCTTCAGTCTAGTTGTGGAGGACGTTGCTTCACTGGCCCATGTTGGTATTATCATTGTGCTCTTTCCGGGTGAGGCAGTTGCTCGCTGGCCATTGGGCGGCTGCTCACCGCGGCTCACAAAAGCTCACGCCCGCTGCTGGCCAGCCCCACTGCAGCCCACACCGTCGCCGGTGACCCACGGCAGCCCAGTTCCAGGTGGAGTTGTTGTTCACCATCTTAGATCTTAGCTACAGAGGGAGCAGTGTCACTGGCCCTCATGTGGGATCCGAACCAGGGCCCTGCTGCTCAGAGCTGGCATCCCAAGACAACTCCCAACCAACGTGCCACTCAGCCGGGGACCGTGCTATAGGAAACATTTCAAAGCATTTATATTTTTGTATTTGTGTGAGCATATGGATAGATTTCTTGAAGTGGAAGTGTTAAAGAGAATACACATTTTAAATCCTGATGGATGTTGCCAAATTGCCTCCAAAAAGCCTGCCTTAATTTCCAATCCCACCAGCTATGTTTTCCAATACTGAATGTTGCCAGTTTGAGACGTGAAAAATGGTGTCTACTCATTTATATTTGCATGTATTTAATTAGAATGAGATTAAACATATTTTCAAATGATTTTTGACTATTTGTAATGGTTCTTTTTCTGTCAAATGCCTATTAATGATTTTGCCCATTTTTCAATTGGATTGTTTTTGTTCTTTAATTGTAAGATCTCTTTATATCTTAAGGAAAACAGTGCTTTGACTGTTATACACATTGTTCATGGTAGCTACATTACTTTGATAACCTCAATAGTATTCACTCTTTCCTTCTTATTGATACAGGAGATCCTTCCTCAAGCCCCTGCCAATGCCCATCTGAAGGACTTGGATGAAGAAATCTTTGATGATGATGACTTTTACCACCAGGTATGATTTTTACACGCTTGTTACAGATCAGGTTTTAGTATTTTAAAACAGCTGATAGAATTCTCTGACCAAAAGGTAGCTTACTTTATAAGGATAAAGTTAGGAAGTTAAAATTCCTGTGTTCAGAATTGCCCTACTGTGTAGTTCTAGATCTGTTACTTTTCTTCTGTCTTACATTTCTCCTTTTGAAATGGAAATAGCTATAGCTACTTTGTTAGTTGTTGCAGAGTGCAAATTCTCTGTAAAACAGTTTCAACTTCCTTGCTTCAGGTGGGTTATTCTTTCGTAGCCATTTTTATAATGGAGGATTATTTGTTATTTGGTTTTTGTCCTATTACTATTGTATCAGGATATGGAGCTAAAGGGCTGGGATCCCCAAGTTCTTGGATTTCACTTCTGGTTCTATTACCTATTAAGTCTCTTGTCTTTAATTTATTTTTGTGCCTGTTCAAATCAGTTAAACATGTACTGAGATTGTCTGCTACTGTGGATTATAATAATATTGTAGTGCTTTGAAGACAGAAAGAATTGGTAGAAGTTGGAATATGGTTTCGTTCTCAATACTATCTCTTCACAAACATCCCCCAGTTCTTTTCCTGACGTTATTATCTCTTGGTATGCCATTCTTTTTAATGATGCTGGTGACTGTTAAGGTAGACTAAACATTTGAGCTAATCTAAAGCACTAAAATAATTTCCTATAATCCTGAGTCTCTTGGTAAGTCATACTTCTTAATGAAATGTTCTTTAGGATGTATCCTTTGTAGCTCTGGAGAATTGAGGATGTTGTTCAGCAGTGACATACCAGTTTTTGTTGAGCCATTATTTATCAAGATAAATTTATTTTTCTCTGATGAATTTTTAGTGTGTTAACTTTTGCCAAAGATATTGCAACTGCTTGTTAAAGGTTTAGCCACAACAGCTGTACTATGTATATGGAATACGAAGGAAGGAACTTAAGAAAATTACACTGGAAGCCAGTAGAACAAGTGATTCTGTATTGCGGATACCTCTGGTTTTGCCCTGAAAAGGGAAAGAAAGTTTCTATTAATCTTTCTATTCACTCTGTGATGTTCAATAAAATTATTGCGATAGTCTTAAAAGTAATGATGAGAGGGTATAGGAAAGAGGATTGGTGGGGCCTCAGGTGTTCCTAGTCAGAGGTCCTGATTCTTTTTTCCTTTTCTTATTATATCCATTTGTCAGAAGAGTAAGGAACTCTATTTTGTTCTAGATTGTCTAAGGAAGTCCCTGATATGGGATATTAATACTGTATAATTGTGTGAGATCATGGGAGACAATAAAAAATGTTCCAGTCTTCATTAATTGAAGTGTACATTGTTTGATAGGAAGTATATCATAAATTAAATAGGCTTAATAAAATAAACTGAAATTACTGGGGAGAAGTTGCTTCCACGGGCAATCCTCAGTCTGAAAGATTTTTTTTTTTTTTTTTGGCCTGGAGGTCGGTTTAAAAAGAAATAGCATTACTTGATTGGCCCTTCATCCCAATTAATAATTTTAACTTCGATAAATTCTGATTTCAGAGTTATGACTAGTCACATCTTAGCTTTTCCCCTTGCTGGTTAATTGGGGTGCTGGGGTTAATCTAAATTAAAACTTAAACTAATAGAGGTCAGCAAGGCAGCTGAAACACCTGAGTGAAACAAATGGGGCTGCCAGGCGCAACTTTATCTTGGCTGTTTCCCAAGAGGGAAGTGGCAGCAAATTGGAGTTGTTTCAGCCTTCTGTAAAGGTGAATGATGGGTGACACTTGTTAATGTACAGCATCTCCGGAAGCATTCCAGATTGCTTTGCTGCTGTACCAACTGCTGCCATCCATACACAGTCAGTAGGAGCTGGACCAGTTGCCAACATCTGGCAGCACAGCAAGGAATGGGTGCAAGTCTTGAAACCCCGCAGATTCTAAATATGGTGCTTAGAACTGTGCAGGCTTTAATCACTTACCACTCTTTGGCAGCAGGCTACGACAGCTTATCCTAGCCTCGTACATCACATCCCGACATCTGCTGAGCCGCAAGGCAGCTGCACATTCATTTTCCTTTCTTGCCTTTTCTCTTTGCCTCCTATTCCTCTTCTTCCCACTCCCCCCCCCCCTTCAGTTTTCCTCCCCTCCCCAATATGCTTCTTGGGAGAGATGATCTGTAAAGATTACTGCTTCATTGTGTGCAAGTAATTGTGGTGATGCCAGGCCCTTGACAGACACAAGGTAGCACCTGTTCTGCTGACCTGGTTAATTTCTTCTGTTGAGTGGGATTTGCCAGAGATTGGAGCTGAAGCCAATTCAATGATAAGACTAAAGCAAATGGCTGTATGTTTTCTGTCACCTCCCAATTAAATTGGCTTCATAAAGTGCTTTCGTTTATTTGTCAGGGTAGTAAGCCTGAGCTAAGTGTTGCATTCAAAAGTGGTACAATGTATTACAATGGGCTTATGAGTTTTCATTTGTGTGTTTTTTTTTAATGTGGTCATATGAAAGAAAGAGCTGAGTGGTGAATGTAATACATTTCACCTTTTTTTTTTTTTTAAACCATACTTGAAGCCAGAATCTTTGGGTCCGTGTTTTGTAAGGAAGAGATTATAGCCACATTGAATTTTAATGTTTCATTGTAGAGGTTTAAAGGCTTACTTGGTTAATTCAGGTGTCACGAGGCTGTGTAAATGCCCTAACTACTGAGAATGATGTTCAGGGTCAGAACGCCCCCTCCCCCCACACACACACACACACTCACTCACTCACACTCTCTTTGTTTCATATTGGACCTTAAGGTATAATTTTTAAAAAGTCTGTATTTAATAAAAGTACATGTATATATGTATGTATGTATGTGTGTGTGTATACATGTACATACGGGGGGGCACTGAAGAGTATCAGATATCATAAGTAATCATATCATTTTTGAGCTGAAAAGACCCTCATAAGAAACTGATTCCGTGAGAAGTAACTTCCTGAAAGTTATATAGTACAGTAATACCTTGGTTTGCGAGCATAATTCGTTCCGGAAACAAACTACTCATAATTGCAAGACATTGCTCGTTTGCCACATTAAAATGTATTAGAAATGTTTGCTCGTCTTACCGAACACTCGCAAACCAAGTTACTCACAATCCAAGGTTTTACTGTAGGTGTCAGTTCTAGTACTTGATCTCAAGACTTCTTAGACCAAGTCCTATTCTTTCCATATCTTTATTTCTTAAATATTTCACTCTTGAGCTATCAAAAGACTTCATTATAGTGTTATAGGTTTCAGTTTGTAAATGAATGTTTCATTTTCTTAGAACTAGAAGAAATATTATGTTTTAGAAAGTAATTTTTTTTCTTGAAAGACAAATATACTCTTGTTTCTTAACAATTCTAATGAAAAAATTAGCTTGATAGTTGTGTTACTGGTTTGTTTGGAAACCAGAATTGCCGAAAGCTTGAAGTATACCCAGTGGTAAAGATTTTATGAGGGAAACTGTTCATCTGATGCAAACATTGCAGAGTTACTCCCAAATGGAATTAGTTTGCATTTGGCCTATTTCTTGTCAAAGCTCATTCCTAAAGACGATTTCACAAAACGTGAAGGTTGAAAATGACCATGAAGGATGAGCCATTCAGAAATGTTTTCAGTTATCTGTTTTTCATTTTCATGATCCTGTTTGCTACTTTTTAACAGTAATTGTTTTTTGTTGTCTATATCACCATTTAAGGTTTTTCTTTTGTTTTGGTTTGCTTTTTTTACACCATCCGTTCAACTTTGACTTGATATACCTGAGTTCTTAAAGAATTGAGGGAAGACTAACATTTTCTGAGCACTGGTTATATGCCAGCTCCTGGACTAATTAGATAGGCACTCAACATACAGCTTTATTTAATCCTCACAAGATCCCCATATTGAGATATGACTGCACTTCATTGTAACCTATGGAAAGTGACTGGTTTTATTCTTCTCATATCTCAGACCTCATACTAGTTTCTTGCCACCTCATGAGGTATTTTGTTCTGAAAGGACTAATTGAGCTTAGATATTGACAGATCGATACCTGGATTTCTAAGGGTTCATTAGGATTTTGTATGTTGCTTCTAGCTGTGTTTAGTTTTGATCTGGTTTGTCCTGTCACTTTGAATTTAACCAGGAGTGTCTAGAGAAAGGCATAATAGGTTTCGCTCTTTTGATGACCACTTTGATGGGTTAAATTTCTCCTTTCATTTGCCATCAGGACATGTCTATAACTGACCTTGCCACATACTGGACTTTTGTATCCAAGACATTTGATAATGCCATAAACAAGTAATTACTAATTTGGTAAACTATTAAAAGTTGATGATGTTAAGAAATAGAGAAGAGACAAGCTTTCTGATAAGATGGTTTGCCTTAATTAAATTGGTGAGTGATTAATATGGACAGTTGATGTCTTGGTTTTAATTGTATGCATTTAGATCTTAGTGTGAATAAGAGATGCCTGAAGCCATTCCTGTGATTAATGGTAATACAATGGGACATCCTTACTTTTGGCATGTATCTTTCCAGTGGTCCAGTTGATGGTTAATAATATGTTTTAAAGTTTGATTTGAACCTGCTTCTTTTAATTAGTTGTTGGAAAAGAGATACCTTCTGTTCAGAATAGTATTTTATATTTAGTTTTACTTTAAAATGTTGCTATTATTTGAAATGTGAATAGTGTTTCTTTTTAAAGATTTTACTGGGGAATTGGGGGAGGGGAACAGCATTGGGGAACTGAGGAAGGGGAACAGACAAGTTTCTGTTCTTTTGTTCTTCAGTCTAGTTGTGGAGGACGTCGCTTCACTGGCCCATGTTGGTATTGTGATCATTGTGCTCTTCCCGGGTGAGGCAGCAGGGGCTGCAGCCTATGCCATCGCTGGTGAC